GTTAAACCAGTCGACCAACTCCACCCCCACCCTCATCACCACTGCAATACTACCAAATAACAACCCTGTAATAATTGTTTATAAATTTGCGTTGTTCCTATTTCAGGGTTGATTTTAATTTTAAGAAATTGATGCCTAAAGGAGAAGGAGGCGGGTTTAGATCCAAGTTACAAGGTATTGTAGAGTATAAAGAAGGGGGTAGCGTAAAACTTGGAATGCCAGGAATTAATTATGAAACACCAAGTACATCAGATGTAAGTTGACGTGATATTTGTTTCTCATTTAAATGTTAAATGATCAATAAAATGTTCTATGATCAATAAAATGTTCAATAATCAATCAAATGTTTAATAATCAATTGAATGTTCAATAATCAATTAAATGTTCAATAATCAATTGAATGTTCAATAATCAATTAATTGTTTAATAATGAATTGAATGTTCAATAATGAAGTAAGTGTTAAACAATAAATTAAATGATAAATATTCAATTTAATGTTAAATAATCAATTTAATGTTAAATAATCAATTTAATGTTAAATAATCAATTTAATGTTAAATAATCAATTTAATGTTAAATAATCATTTAAATGTTAAATAATCAATTTGGGTACATTTTAGTGTGAATAAAGCAGTAAAAGTTATATTTGGTCCAAAAATTGAAAATGACCATCAGTTATTGACAGAACAAAACTGGTTTCAAATGTAAATTGAATAATCTAGTCTATCAAATAAAGATCATGTAATATATTTTTTTAATCTACATTTATAATTTTCAGGCACCATCCGTTGTTTCAAGTCTCAGTGATCCCACATGTCCTACTAATTTTTGTAATCCAATGTATGACAATTTACACGCTCAAGAAACAGTGACTTTACCCCCGGGGAACCTAAATAATCGACCAATTGAACCTCGACCAATAGAAATAATCGTACCAAATTCTAACAACAAAACAGCCACTCCACAACAACTTACTTTACAGACAACAAGATCGCTTAATCCTACAGAAGACTACGAACATGATACAGCAGGTTTGGTACGACAAGGTTCTTTGTAGAACAAAAAAATACCATTGTTTTTCCATATACATGATCTTCACAGAAATATCAGACATTGATACGCCAAATTATTTTGTTATGATATTGTAATGCATTCTTTAAGGTGTTGTTAGTGAGGGGGACGGGTGCTTCCCACCCTCCCCCATGACTAGGATATTTACTCTCTCAGGTTGTGTGGTCAGTGCAGTATATAAAGGTCGGATGTCTGCTGGACAAATTTGAAATTTTCAGATTGAAGACGGAAATTAGTCATAATTAAATGATTTAAAATGTGTTTTATATAGGAACTTGACACAAACTAGGTCGTTTCGGAAATAACATGGTTCAATTTTATTTCAATAACTCGCTTGCGAGTAGGGGTGGGAGGAAACCAGAGGACCTGGAGAAAACCCACTCCATTTCACGTACAAGCAGGGAATCAAAACCATGCCACATGACTCATTGACAGACCTTGTGATTTCATGCATCCATGTTAAACCACTGAGTCCACCCAATCTCTCCCTGGGTGAAGTAACCAAACTGCTTTGCTATCATAACAAAATAAAGTGGCTGTAATTTGATCATATCTTTAATTAGGTGTTGTTTTGTTTTATTGAATATGTAATATATGTATATAAGTTTTATTATGAATGGATAACAGAATTGACTTATCTTCAACATCAATGTAAAATATATTTAGTAATACTTGTGTATAGTGGCTTCCAAGATGGATGAATGAATGAACCCTGTTCACATTAGGTTTTAAATGCTACTCTTAATTGCTTTTAATATGCTGAAATCTATGGTTATTCATGTATATTGGTGCCTTTAAAATCTGGAAATATATCATAATTCATGTATATTAATTAGTGGCTTTAAATGTGGAATGGCATCATAATTCATGTATGTTGGTGCCTTTAAAATGTGGAATTGTATCATAATTTATGTATAGTGATTGGTGCCTTTACAATGTGGAATTGTATGGCTGTTCATGTATATTGGTGCCTTAAATATATAAATCACCGTCATATTTCTATAAAAGGATATTTGATCTCCTACAAATCAATAAAATTATGTTTAGTCATCATTCAGTAAAGATGCTCCCTCCAAATCGTACCACAAACATTGCAGCGTTCATCTCCTTAAATTAATATTTCGGCTTGTGCCAACTAAAGCATCAAGAAGTGTATATTTATGTTTTTGGAAGAACATATTTTTATATATTTGTATATAGTTTCTGTGTCAAAAAAAAAATGTTTTGTATATTTGAAATGATTTTTTTTATATTGTAAATAATACTTGTTAAGAATAAAATTATATATGTAGACGTTAAATGGTTAATTTCAATTAAGGGGTGGAGTGGGGTAGATGGTCTGGTGCATGCACTTTAGATCATAGTTCTATCGTCGAGTCATGTGGCTTGGTTTCCATCCCAAGCTTGTACTTGTCAATGAGTGAGTTTTCTTTGGGTTCTTAAACATGCATTATGCAAGAGCTAAATCTGCCTGTTGCAGGTCTTTCTTTAGGCCTAAAATGTTATCTAAATTATTAATTAGACATTAATTAACCTATCCAGACCATAATCAACTCTCGATGCCATTGTTAGCCTATGATATTTAGTGGATTTGAATACATTTTGTGATAATTTAACTTAAAAATGGATAATCGAGACTTTGTTTATTATCGTACCAACCTTATAGTAATGAGGTTCGTTGAATCGCTAATATCTGGGTTCAAAGTAAAGCAATTTGAAATTTTCAGCATATTCTTTCATTATCTATTTGTAACTATTATAGCCAGAACTGTCAGCTGTTTATCTAATCTTACCTAATGCCCCTTTAAGTACCCTCCACCCCTCCACCCCCCCCCCCCACCACACACACACACACACACACTGACCCCTACATGCAAGTGAATTATGGAAATACAATTATACCATATATTAGTCATTTACTCATTTCCTAACAAATGCAAAGTCCTCTGTAGCATAATGGGGTCACTCTTAGATTATAATGGTAAAGCTATTAGTGAAAATAATAAAACTTATGCTGAATCTACCAATATACGGAACCAACTTTTACATGGGGTAACAAAGATCACTACAGAAACCTACATCACAATATGACGTGGAAAACGTGTTAAGGTATCTCATCGCCACCGGTACCATTTGGGTTCCTGTATCCTGTTCAGTTTCCCCGAACTTTACTTCCAGCACCATTGGGCATTAATACCGTATAATCCGTCTATGTCCATCACCTAGAATTTAAAACTAACCCTATACTTTCTAAAAGAAAAAGAAAATTCGACCAGTAGACTAATGGCTGAAACGTGCATCAGTGGTCAAACTAATAACCGTGAAGGACCGACAAGAGCGTATATTGCAAAAAGAGACCTACAAAGATATGTTATAGATCATACTCCTCGCACTGTTTCGTTTGATCTTAGACCTAACCCTACTCAAGCACTGCCGTAACGAAAGCAAATTTCCGTTCCACATTATGTCTGGTCACGCAGTATACATGTAACATTTGTGGGATGAAAATGCCTTCTAAAAATAATAAAATGAAACGAGATTTGGTTTAAAGCCCAATTTTTCTTTACAAGGACAAATAAATGAAATGATGGGATTTAACTTTTCTGTACCAATGATACAGACCGGCATTGGCCATGCAGTGTGCTGTGGGGGGGGGGGGGGGAATTTTGCCCAGACAACGGCTCTATGACCAACTCTTTCTTTGATTTCCAACTGTCGGTGGATCGTTGTTAGTGCTGTCAGTAGTATACATGGGACCTTGATTTTTCGTCCCACCCGAACGACTCGAGGTTTCTATGGTCTGGTATGGTTTTAAATGAGACCGGAATGGTTTGGAGGATTATGAAGAAGTGTATATCCCATTCACTCTACTTCCCTAAATAAAGACAGTTCGAGCTAGTGTTTGACGTAGTGTCTATTATGCTATTTCAAATCCAAATCAGAGTGATGTAGATTTATTTTTTTCTTTTTTTTTTAAAAAAGACAAACTCGCAAGAGAGACAATTAATCCACCACAATCGCACACAATGTATGGATGCAGACCACCATTATTTCCCCCTTCGGCTATAATGTAAATTACGGTCTCTGAACTCTCATCCTCGGTATCCCCAGCGGTATCGTTCCGTTCTACTAACTCCACTAGCTAACCCCTGGCTCCATTTACGGGTTAGAAACATAGTCCAATTATCCACCCTTGAAACTCTGTAAATGGGCCCAGGATATAGTGGAGTAGAAAGGAACGATACCACTGGGGATACCGGGGATGCTTAACCCTATAACCCTTCCGTCTCTAAGCATGCATATTTACCAAAACTTAGCAGAAAATGTCAATTAAAACCCACTTCTTCGATTCTAGACCAAAACAAAAAATAACCATTCAAATTGGGAGAAAGGGAGAGAGAGAGATAGATTACGGTGGCCTGTATAATTCTAGGTCATGATCATGATCGAGCGGCTGTATGTTTAAAAGATATCTGAAGAAAATGATTTAGACCTATTCATAGAAATGTGACAGTGATCGACCTGATTCATCATTAAACCAGGTGGATCTAAGTCATCATGATCGAGTGATAAATAGTCTAATTTGTCCAGCAAGCCATCTGAAGTTGGGTATTATAAGACATACGAGTAGCCTAATGAATGAATGTGTTAATGATGAATGGAATTATGGTAATTATTACTAAGAAACAACAAATGGGTATTAAACGCGACTAATCAAGCTCTACGTTACAAAGCATACCGACATTATAAGCCGATTATGGTGGCGATCGGTGACAATAGTTTATTGTTTATTTTCAAACAATCCCTTTCGATAACATATTTCTTCTGTCGATCCACGTTAGTAATACGCGATATGTTGTGGCATATCTTTTTATACCTCACATTATTGACGTAATGACTTTCTTAATACTTGATTGTTTCTCTTGGATACGGTCACTGTAAACTTTCAAGACCATACATGTTACGACTTATTTAACTGTAAACGTATGCGCGTAAGGATTGTCTTTGATATCGCTACCGTGAAAACAGACGTTAAACGACAACAAATCAATCAGTGAGGCTTAAGGAAAGTGTGTTAATTGCAATGTTTAGGTGCGGTTTCTAAAACATTGGCCACCTGGAAGTGTTATAAAGTTAAACAACCGAATACTCCATTGACACAACTGCACGTTGAATTGAGATAACACATATTTGAGGCTATAAGAAAGATTTGGTATCTAATAATTGAAGAAAATGAATGTGTTGTAATGAATATATGGTAGTTTTGTCAGAACATGTTTATATTGATTTTGTATATTAACTGCCTTGGAATCATATTGAGTTAGATAGTAAAGTGGTCTACTAGAGTTCAGATTGCCTCTTTTGTTACTAAGGTAAACTGAAGACAGAAAAGATGTATGTGACCGTCAGATTCGGAGGTAAGCAACTTTTTAAAACAAAAATATGTTATTTTAAATTTTATTTCGACCATTTCGTCTGGATTTTATTTTGATCATTTCGTGTACAATTTATCTTAATCATTTCGACTATTTCGTCTAGTTTTTTGGGGGGTTTTTTTTTTGGGGGGGGGGGGGTTGCCATTCGTGTAGATTTTAATCATTTCGTCTAAGTTTTATTTTAATCATTTCCTCTAGGTTTTATTTTAATCTTTATTTTAATCATTATGTCTAGGTTTTATTTTAATCATTATGTCTAGGTTTTATTTTAATCATTATGTCTAGGTTTTATTTTAATCATTATGTCTATATTTCAATATTTTGCTGATCTACACTACATAAATATCTGAATACCAGTACCTCTCTGTCTGCAGTTGAATTTATATAGCCAATGTCACTGATTAAACTATAAACACTTGCCAATTAAAGAGCAAATTCGCTTCGTGAAAATTCGACTTCGAACGAAATTTACGCTGTCTGTCTGCAATTAACTCCGCTTGAGAACAAATTCTCAACGTGGCGAGTTCTCTCAGTGCAGAATGAATTCCATTTGTGACCCTAAAATGTACATCATATCCCATTTGATAACCGTGTTAGACTAGAGGTTAATTACAAGATAGATCTTTAAACCAAACATTTGAAGATACAACATGAATAAAGCTCTAATGGCATGCCCAAGTTTACCATAAATGAAGGCACAATGCTAATATATTATTATTTTAAACAATATTTTATTCTGTATTTCTGTATGGGATTAGGGATTAGACTCAGACTATGTAAATCCCCTACAATGACTGGTGAACTATATAAACTGTGGGTTAAATGTTAACAAAATAAAACCCAGTGTAAAAGACATCTCATTCGAAACGAAATGGTTTTAAGCTGATTAACCCAGACAGCAATTAGAGTTGATTGTTTTTATTGATCTACCAAACCCTGAGGCTGCATGAAAACCCGGTATATTAGCTTAGATCAGTAAAGTTATGGGGCAACAGAATTTTAATTTGCTGTTAATAGAAATGTATTAATTGGTTTAATCTGATTTAAATATATAATTATTTTATTTTCCAGATTGTAGAAGTGAGCTGTTTAATCCCAACTGTAGAATTATATCTTTATTAAAGAATATCCGAGACAGATGTAGTTGTTTTGAAGGTAAGATTTGTATTTGACCTAAAGAGTTGTTACAAATTTGGAACTGAAATTAGCGTTGCAAGTATAAATTTCACGACAAAATCAAGTCGAAAAAACACATGGATTTAGGTTAATACTTTATGAAACATGCATTATGCAAGAGTTAAATCTGCCAATTGCAGGTCTTTCTTTAGGCCTGAAATGTTATCTAAATTATTAATTAGACATCAATTAACTTATCCAGCTCATAATCAACTCTCGATGTCATCGCTAGCCTGCGATATTGATAATTAAATAAAAAAGTGGATAATCGAGACTATGTTTTTATCGTAACAACTTTAGTAATGATGATCAAGGCTAGACCAAAAATTCAATCGCTAAAATCTCTGTTCAGAGTGGATCAATTTGACTGATATTTTCAGCAAATTGCCTTTACATCTAGTTTTTAACTATTATAGTGAGAACTGCCAGCTCTTTATCTAACCTCCCATAATGTATCTTTAATTATGTTTAACTCAGTAGACCAACTTTATTAAATATTTTTTATAACCCAGAAGACCTTTATTAAATTCTATTAAATATCTTTTATAGCCGAAGAAGTAGATTTATCAGATGAGAATGGTAATGTGAAATATTTACGAGAAACGCCATATAAATTTGCCAGTGAGATTTTAACAGAAAGAGAGAATCTAGTTTTATTACGCGTAGACAGTAAGTAAACCCATCTAATTTAATTTCCTCCCATTCGTATTCGAATGTCAAAATGGCAAAGACTATTTCAATTATATCCGCTAATGCGCACACCTTATTTCCTGCTTTACCTGGAAACGGGGTTTGAAGGATATAGTTCGTTTATACCACGAGGCTGCTGATCGTCATTACAGAGATTTTGAATGTCTTGCAAACTACAGCATTTTGAAAGTTGAATCTCTAAAAAGAATATCAGTCCATTCGACACCTACCCCTAACTAGGGGCGGGGGTAGGGGGAGCGTAGGGGTGGGGTGTCCCCCATGCAAAAAGTTTCGCCCCCCCCCCCCCACCCATCCTGTGAAAAAATTGTCGGCCATAGACAATAGATATACATTGTCCGTCAATTTTACAGCACCCCTGAGAACACTTCCCTCCCCAACCCCCCCATAAAATTTGGTCGCAAGTACTCTTTTCTCCAGGTCATTGCGGCCCCTGGACCCTTGCCTATAAGGACCTAGGATGGAAGCCCTCCCAATCAAGAATTGCTTCCGCAGGCCCTGCTCCCCCTCGTTGCTCTGAGCGAGTTATTCCCCGATTTGACATCCTCTAAAACGATTTAAACAAGACATTACCACCTCTGAATGTTGGGTAAAATCTTTTGACGAGTCAATTTTTAATCGGAGGTGACCCAAGCCTTTGGATTACCATCCGTTGGGGGGTGGGGGTGGGGTCAAATAATCAATCTGGGTACATTTTAACGTGGAATTAAATCGTGGCAGATCAGATATCATCCGAAAAATGCAAATATATTTATACTGTATTTGCAGATTAGCTGTATGGCCGCCACTATTTCTATTTTTTAGGTATTTATTTCCTGGAACTAACTTGATTTTATAAAATTATTTTAATGTTTTTTATTTATATTATAGAAAATGAGAGTTACGTATCCTACTCGCCATTACTGATGGACAATGATGCAATAACAGAAGAATTTTTAGGTAATTTTTTTTTTTAATGTTCGGTGCACACTGGACTCAAATAAATGGCTATATGTAGATTTGACGTAAAATCCCCCTTAATATACAGTGTCCGTCAATTTTACAGCACCTCTGAGAACACCCCACCACCCTCCCTTCGTTGCTCTGAGCTAGTTACGACCCTGTGCGCATGATAGCCCGGTTGACGCGCATTATATCCTGGTTGGCGCAGGTATTATATCCTGGTTGGCGCGCATTATAGCTTAGGTGGCGCGCATTGCATTCTAGTCCGATTGGCGCGCATTATATCCTGATTGGCACTAATGTTCCATTAAACTCTGGTTTCTTTCATTCTTCCTGGAACACCAGACACCACGTATCGATGTATTATATAGAATATTGTTCTAAGAGTACCCATTAAAAACAAATGTTGGATATACATGTATTAGCATATACCACGTTACTGAAATGCAGTTTAATGCCTTAATAAAATTAAATTAAATGATGATCGCAGATGTCAAACGTAATAAATATGATCAAATTATCTTTTTTAGCTCGCCTTGCAATCAAAGATGATTATGATGGGAGTATAGATATTAAAAGAATGAAACCCACGAAAAAAAATTCTTCAGAAAAGTTAAACAAGTCGGAGCGAGAAAAGTCCGTGAATAAACTACGCATGACAAAGTCTATTACAAGTATAGTGAGATCTAAATCAAGGCAAGGAAAAGCAACGTGAAATTTGAAACAAAAAGGAGCTACTTTCTTATACCATCGTCAACACGAGAGACAAATAACATAATCATTCGCCTGCTACCAAACGACCGTCTTCATTAGCCCGGTTGGATCGCAAAAGTAGTACGTTAGATACCATTTCAATTCATACACAAAAAACTTTGTTAAACTGTTTTCATGCGCAAGGCCATGATGATTATCACAAGCATGCGCAAAGCAACTTACTCTGAAGTCAAAGTTTCAAACAGCTATAAATCTGTATATACCTCGTGTATTGATGTTTTCAAGAAACGGCACATCACCATCGTCAACGAGTTAAAAATGATACAAGTTTGTGCGAGCTGGGTGCCAAAACTCTAGACACCCCGTGACAATTTACAAAAACGAATTTCTCGTTAGATTCCTGTGTTGTGTGAACGACATTTTGGTCACCCCATAGTTCCAGATCACCCAATCTCAATTTGTGTATGCCGCCAACTCCGACAATCATGCGCAGACCTTGACAATGTAATAAAGCAATGGATGTAGAGTGGACATTGAGGGGGAGCAATACGAAAAAAAAAGGCGCTTTTTTTTTTTTGAACCAAGAAAACTTGAATCATATAGGTCCAAGTTTTGGTAATTTTTGTTTGCATAGGGCCAATGTTAAAAGCTTGGATCAAGAAAACTCAAATCATATAGGTCCAAGTTTTCGTAATTTACACATAGGGTTAAAAAAATCGTTAAAATTGGACAAGTCTGAGTATTCGACCTCAGTACTCAGTACCGCATTCAAAATACCCAACGTTACAAATCCAGCATCTGACAATTTATACGCTTATATGCCTGGTCCAGTAAGGTCACACCAGTCTGATTTCCTATCTGTCGGTGTCTTGATAAGTATGTGATCAAGACTTTCAAACTTGAAACCAAAAGCTTTTGAACAATGCAACCAAGTACTTTTGAAGTTTAAATAAGTTTTTTTCACCGAAGAAATAAGAAGGAACATTTTTATAGGTGTTCCTGAAGAACAGAAAATTATGTACCTATAATATGGTAATGAAAAAATAACCAGTTTAGATGGTTTAGTGAACACAATAACAGATTGATATTTTGAAAAAAATAATTTATATTTCTAAATTAACAAGTATCTATCTAATTGTTGTTTTATTCATTTGTTAAATAAAAAATTTACAGTTACAATTTAGATTCTTCTTTCTTGTCTCCTGAAAATTCATTTAGCTAAATCCATCTTTTACAGCATTACCAGCAAGAGCTCCCATCCGGTCGGCTAGACAGTCTTCCTTGCCAGATCGGCCATAAATAAAATACCATAGATTCCAGACCGGTTGGCGAACCATAAAATACATTAGACACTAGGTTCCGAAACTGGGGGTCGCGAAATCTCCAGCTGGGGTCGCCATGTCCTTTTTGTAGGGTCTACATGGTAGTCTACTCTGAAACTTTGGAAAAAATGTTTTCATGAAAAGCATATGAGGCTAAGACTTGTTTGTAAACTGTTTTTCTGATTGGTTCGTAGAATCAAACTAGATCAAGGGCAGATAATTTGAATACGTGAATACCCATAGATCATCCTAGGTTATAGTGGAGTAGAACGGAATGACGTCTGGGGATATCGAAGATGCAATTGAGACTAATATGATAATTTGTCTGTGCAATACCAAGTAGGGAGAATTTTGTCCAGGTAGTGACTTGTCTACCATTCTTTGAATTCCAAGGGTTAAGGGTTCTGTTACCTGTAATAATTGGACATTTATGTATATTGAATAATAATGTTAGGCCTACATGAATACGGTAACAACCTTACCTAAAAGTCCTCTGTTAGATACTTGTTTATATAAAGCGGAATTAATTTATTTTCAAATGATGATAAAACAAGATGTTGTACAGTCGTACCTGGCACCAGCAGATGGCATAAATAAAATACCACTTAAATTCAAGGTCCGTTGTCGATATTAGCAACAAAATCCATATTTGTCTAATTCTTTGTGTTATTGGGCATAACGTTTCCAGCAGTAGCGGCTCTGGCTAGAGCAGTGGTTCTCAGACTTTTCTTGTCAACGGCACACCTCGGAACACATGAAAAAATAGTGGCACATCTGGCTAAATAATATATGCAAAATATTTGAATTTTGCCAAATAAAAACATGGCAAGTCATAGACGGCATACAACCGGAGACACAGACCAGTCATATACACACAGAATCAAAAAAAACACAGCTATGAACTTACCAATAGACGCCAGTGAATACTTAATTGGGATCACGTGGTTTTTCGCATTTTTTTAGTGTGCTGTTCGCAATTTCGCGGCACACTTAGGAAGATCGCGCGGCACACAGCACACTGGTTAAGAATCACTGGGCTAGAGCAAACCGAGTGAAGATGAGAGAATGAAAGACATTTTATTTGTGAGTTTTATGCAGACTTGCGCTGTAAACATTGTATCCTGCTTAAACATACATTATTCAAGAACTAAATCTGCCTATTGCAGGTCTTTATTTAGTCCTGAAATGTTATCTAAATTAATTAGACATTAATTAACTTATCCAGACCATAATCAACTCTCGATATCATCGCTAGCCTGCGATATTTTCTGGATTAGAATCCTATCTGCTGCTTAAAGTTCATTGATAATTAAATCAAAACCTGGATAATCGAGACTATGTTTTTTATCGTACCGACTTTAGTAATGATGATAGAGGCTAGACCCAAACTTCACTCGATAAAATCTCGATTCAAAGTGGATCAATTTGACTGAAATTTTTCAGCAAATTGCCTTTACATTATCTATTATTTATACTACCAGCCCTTTATCTAATCTCCCATAATATAAAAAGTATTTAAGCAAGAGCAGTCTTTCCCCAGAGTTTTTTCGGGGTGACATTGGCGTCATAATTGCAACATACGTGGAGTCCAAAATTTGGGAGCTGTAACAGTATACACGCCAGTCATACCTAAATGATTAGTGACCAAAACAAAGAATTTGTAGTAGAGATAGTGTTAGATTTGGTAAGCTTTTGGTTTTGCTATTCGACCACGCTATATATGCTACACATTCTATCTGGTGCCGTGACCAGGACCAATCACCCTGGAAGAATACGCATATACGATATAATTGCCGTGTCAGGACCAGCCCTCGAGGAAACCCCGTGGAAACCTGTGACCAAAACATCAACTCTGGTGGAAAACCTGTGGAACTATTCACTAATAGGGAAATACCTAAAAAATTTATGGTGCTATTTTGAGGTGATATATTGGCGTCATCTTAAGTCTGTGCCAAGTCAATAATTGCAACAAACGTGAAGTCCAAATTGAGAGGAGCAATTAACGGTATACACTGAAGTCACACCTAGACGATTAGTGGCAGAAACCAAGAATGTGTAGCAGGGGTAGTGTTACTAGTTGGATTTGGTAAGCTTGTGGTTTAGCTTCCATATTCGACCGGCTATGCTACTCATTAGTGTACAAATTCAGCTCAGTTTTCCATAATATCGGAAACGATTAGGCATATTTTCCTGGTCTCTTTTTTGTCCCATCCAAATGACTAGGCACACTGCACAGCCACACCTAACAAAGTAGGAAAAGGGATTGAAAAACCTTAATGGTTTTCTGGGCTCAAGGTGAGATTGGAAACCAGGATATTCTGCTATAGTCCCGAGTTCAGTTCCTCACCTCCCCACCATTTCAGTCTTAGATGGGTATTAAAACAAAGTTATATTGTTAGGTGTCTTTATTACAAAAAAAAACATACAAGTAATATGTTGTATTAATGGTAAACGTTTATAAAGGCAACATATACAAAAAGCTTATAGGATATAAATATTCTAATTTGTTCTCAATTGTATTAAAAGCTACACTCTAGAAAAAAACAAATCTCTTATTTAATACAAATCTGTATTCATCGAGACAATGGGAATATTTAATAATTATGCTTTTGTTTCATATTTCTACTCCTAAATTAACTACAAATTTTGTACAATTTCTGATAATATGCAATCTTTTATTTATGCCCAAAAGGTCAAAAATATTCATGGCATTTAATTATGAATACGGGTAAGCAGAAATTCAAGAAACAAATAAATGCATATAATTAGTACAATGAGCAATTTTACTGAGCATCATACACAACAAAATACATTCAATTCTACATGTAAACCTACATGAAAATACTACAAGGTTGAGGTTAACAAAGATTTCATTTTAATTATTGAATACTATAAATAACTGTTGTAGTAAACAGATTTCATTTTATTTAGGCCAAGAAAAATAATAATTGTGTTTACGGTTACTTTGCCCTAAAAAAAACTAGAATCAGTCAGAAAATGTTTTTGTTGTTTTTCCGGGGGGGGGTATTATCTATTTCCTAGCATTTCTAGCTTAATTACCGAGTAAGGTTCTTGAAAACAAAATACTGAGGTTTCAGTGTTGGAATGTGTCTACAGCAAAACTGAGTTATATGGTATAGGAAATAACCAAAAAAGTCAGCAATTTCAGCTAAAATTCAATAACCATAAACATAGGTAATTTTTGTTTGGCCTTATTAAATACTACATGTATAAATGACAGTTTATATAGTATGCTATAAAGTTGGGGTTAACCAAGATTTTATTTTATCCTTAAATACTATAAATGACTTATTTTATGCGACAAACTGTCATGCTTATATGCGGATCATACAACAAGGTTTATAAGCGGACCACACAACAAGGTTCTTTTGGAGTGATTTCATGTTTCGATATAAGTAATGACCAATAAATGTGCTTATCAATTTTTAGATTATTTCAGGACATTTTTAAATCAAGACAATTTTATACCAAAATTTTATTTATAGCATATTAAGGATTTTTTATCAGTGATATGGTTTTCATGTGAACAGGTCCTAGCCAGCTTAATCATAAGTAACTCTTAGGGAATACTGTCTAGCGATTCTGGGATTGTGCGTTAATAGACGTGTCACTATAAGGGAGATTCGGTGATTGGACGACAATATGATCACCACACACCTGTCCTTCAAAAAGCGTAAGCCTGCAAACCCCACCTTTTGGCCCATGCCTAAAAAGCAAGAATTACCTGCCGACAAATATCTCCAAATTCACAGCATATGGAAACAACAGGATTTTCAACATATCTATTTATGAAATTTTTATCAATATCACGATAATTGGAAATCTGTCTAGATTCTTTAATGACAGCAGGTTAGAAAATTGCCTAGAGTGGTTTATAGCAAGTTTGAATGGAAGACAAAAATACATAAAATATATTGTGATACTAAATGTAGACTGGAATGTATATAAAAATTATGATAAACTGGAATACCTATATAGTCTAACAATATTATCAACATTAACAAATGCTTAAACTTTATAATTTCATCATCTTTTCAGGAGACCTAAGTGGAGCTTGTGTTAACTTTCAACTGAGATTAACTGCTTTCAACTATTATCTTCTAGAGGCAATTGGATAGAGCCATAAGCTATAACACATATGGAAAAACAGCTACTTATTTATTTGACCCAGGTTAACGTGAAGTCAGTTGCTCCCAGTTGTAAGATCAAAATAAGCCCCTCTTTATATCCTATGTGAAGGATTGTATTGCACATTATTGCATATTCAATTCTTTCATTTAGTATCAACGATTTTGACTTTAATTGGATTTTAAATTATTACGTTATGAATTTGTTTCATATATAAAATTAATGAAAATATATTTTTCAAATGCCATGAAAACTTTACAATTCTCAAATTCCTTACACTATCTGACAGTATTTATTTATTCAAAAACAAATAAAATTATTAATATATAATTTAAACAAATTGTTTTTGTTATTCAAAATCTGGCCGGAGGAGAACATCATTAATGTCAAAATATAAACATCATTGCCATCATCTTGGAATTGTGATGTCCTATCAAAAATTGAAGTACGTCAATCGATGCGCAATTATCTAAGTAACAAGCATTGCAAGTTTCATGTTGAACGTACTTTAATTGGTGGTGCATTAGTCTTTTTCAAAGAATACATATCTATTACTGCTCAGAATTGATATATTATTGATCAGAATTGCTATTTTATTGATTAGAATTGATATTTTATTGATTAGAATTGCTATTTTATTGATCAGAATTGATATTTTATTGATCAGAATTGATATTTTATTGATAAGAATACTTTATTTTTTTAAATTACCCTTATATTAAACAATGGGATTATCTAAGTCTTAACAGAACAAATATAACAATGCCATGTATATAATTAACAATTAAAAAATAGATCTAATATTGTTCCCTTAAATAAAAATTATAATAAACGTTAGTTAATATCAATGAGTAACTATGACAACCATGTAAACAAGACATATCATCGTAAATAACAATATTTATTTATGTATTAGTTTGAGATTTTAAGGTAATGTTGATTTTTTTTTTTTTTTTTTAAAAAGCAAAAAATAAACTCTCATAATTAAAATAACGTCAATATTGAGGAATAGCTAATATGAATGTAAATAAAACTACACATTCCAGCCAGCGTCCATATTGTATAATCAAGCCTGGAAATAAAGCATCTGTCACAGACATTATCAGATCTATTTGCAGTTTTCTTATTAATATTTTTACCTAAAAATGCCAGGTACTAGTTCATCAGTGCCTACAGGTTGTTAGTTATTTGTATCCAACAAGTACGAGTGTACTATGGACAAGGAACTGAGAATGATGTCATGGCAGCCATCTTGGAATTATGGCCTTGTATCAAAACTTGTCCAAGGCACCAGCATTCCAAGTTTCAGGTTGATTGTACTTTAATTGGCAGAGTCTCAGGCTTTTTTTTTTAAAAGCATCATACCACAACAAAGAAGAACAAGAACAAGATAAGTAGTGCTTGGAAGCCAGTTACTTCCCCAAAAATGTCAGACACTAGTTCTTTAGTGCCAGGCATCTTGTTACCATAGTTACGTAAGAACTAATATTTCCAGGCCTGTGTATAATTATGATATAAATATGAGACAGTAGCAAGATCGTTCTATTTTTCTACAATATAATATATAAATGGAATATATATGCAAAACTTCTTTTATACAATGGAAAGGTAAAACGATTTAATTAAAACAGTTTGACAGCTTTCTTCAACTGAGTTTTCTTCCAGATTGGTTTTGAGTTGAAATCATTGAAATTCATTCCAAAATATTTTTCAAAATCTTCATGTTTTAAATGAATCTGAAATTAAAATTGACAAAATGAAGCAAATGAGTTTTTATATGAAATGGGGTGAAGTTTAACAGCTTGTTGACAGTTTCCTTGGTTCATTTTGAGACTCTATACATTATTTTTCGTGTTTCTTTGGTAACAGATTGCAGAGCAATACCAAAATCTGGGCTTGGAGTGGGTGTTAACTTTTCTTTAAAATCCAACTGCTAGTACACCAGGCCCCGAGTTCACAAAGCATTCTCAGACTAAAGTTAAGGATTTACTCAAAATTGTTCGCCTTATTTTAAATAAAATGTAGCCCTTTATAAAACTTTTGTTGTTTTAATGTATCAACTATATGCAAACTTTTGCATTTCAGACACCAAGATATTTCTCATAAACAGTGAATGAAGTTGAGTAAATTCCTAAATTAAGTCTAAGAATGCTTTGTAAACTCGGGGCCCGACTTCTGCTTTGAGTATCATCCAAAAGACTAGACCACGTTTGGAATTTTTGACAAATCCATGTGTGACTGAAAGGCATTCTTTTTTCAGAAATTACTAAGCCCTAAAAATATTGGGCCCTACATCTTATACTGTGCATACTGGTGGCAGAAATATCACACAAGAAAAGAAAACATACCTCTCTAGCAGATGGATCAACACCTTCAGGGAGTTCTTCAGGTTTTCCTTGTAATTTCTCTAATGGATATTTCTGTACTTCATCAAAATCTGGTGCTCCATTAGCAATACTCTATAAATAAATGAATGATTTGAATAAAATATTTTGTTAACTTGAAAATGCAACTTTGTTATGACCCTTTAACATATAAGCATCAAAATTTTGTACATCGTCCAAAACTAAAATGAAGAATTTTTTATGATAAGCTCAAAAGCATTATCTGTAAGAATCTAACATTTAAACAAACTACCAGGTAAATTAGTAATCATAAAAACAGTTATACTAAAGATGCATTATGTAAGACTAAGATAAGAGAACTGACAGTTCTCACTATAATAGTTTAAAAAACAGATAATGAAAAATGAATATATTGAAAATTTCATTCAAATTACTATATTCTGAGTGAAATCATGGATGTTGGAAGACAACTGATACTCAGTCTTGCTCTTCTCCATTTTTAAATCAAATCATTAAATGGTGACCATATTTTAATCCCTGCCATCCGATGGTCTAGAGAGTTGATTATAGGCTTGTTACGTTAATAAATATCTAAATAATAGTTTATATAAAATTTAAAGCCAAAGTAAGAACGTGCCATATTCAGATTTAGCTCTTATATAATGCATCTTTAAAGAACTTTCATTAATCAATTTGGCCCATTTAATAACTCTTGTGATATAAATTAATCAGTAAAAAGAGAGAGAGAAATGGGGTTTAACATCCACTTGGCACAAACGTCATTTTGGGACTAACACATGTTTCTTTTTTCAATAATTCGCTTGTGCGTAGGGGTCTTTAACAGTGGGAGGAAACCGGAGCACCCAGAGAAAAACCCATGATGTTGGATAATCAATTAAAGTAATTATTTTAATAATTAAACTCACCTCTTTAACAATATCTACAGATATATCTTGTGATCCTAATTCTTCTTTCATTTCTTCAAACGTTTTACCTTTCTGTAATAATACAATATACAATATAGAACATCACTGTTCACTATACAGATGATATCTTTAAAGTCAAATGTCAGTGTATAATGTTTGACAAGGTCTGGCTAAATGTTGTAAATATGACAGGAAAAACATAAAACATTTACCAAATTATTGGCTCGACAACCACGGCTCAAGAACATCCTTTAATGTGTTTCCTATTTTTATTCAAATAAATTAGGAAAAAATGTTTGCTGGTGAAAACTGGAGAAGGCTAAAGATTTGCCCGTAACAATAAGAAAACTTTCCATATAGGACTAACAATTATAACAGGGTCAGCTTGTCATTTAATCCTGCATGTAATAAGATAACAATTGGGAATTATCAGAAAAAAATTGAGGAGATTGATGCTGGAATGTGTAGCAAATTTGATAGATTTACAAGGTTCAATGGGAAAACCCATGGGAACGAAAACATATTCCTAGGACTATCGATTCTACAGAATGGAGAATTTTATCATAAACACAGAATAAAATTATTCATTCACAGATCCAGAGGGACCTGTTAGGTTATTGAGTAATGGTGTCAGACCCAAGTTGATCTAATTAAATTACATACAGGTTCAAAACATTTTATAATTGTTGATATTTAGAAATATTTTCCAGTAAAAAGATAATTTCTCAACTTACACTCCACATTTCTCGGTCCCAAACACCAAAAAATCCAGTAAATGAAGGAGGTTCTCTTCCTTGTTTAATTCTAATAATAGGTGTGTCTTCATCTCGACCTGATGGATCCGTTTTTAAATATTCCTGAAAAATAACAAATTCACAGATGAAGATCATTAAGTGATTTAATAGAATAACTAAAAAAATATATTACATAAATGAAACTTTTTTCCTTCGGTAGCATTTTATTATTTTGTTTTTTAAAACTGGTAAAGCTGTTTTAAGAGAGAGAAAGGAATGGGGTTTAACAACTATTTGACACAAACCAGGTAATTCTGGACGAACATACAGTTCAATTTTTAATTCATTAATTCGCTTACACATAAGGATCTTTAGCAATGGGAGGAAACCGGAGAAATACCACGGGGTTGGACAGATGACCCTCCTCCTTTCCAGGAATCAAAACAACTTATTGACAAGCCTTTGACGTAAAAAAAAACCCTTTTAATGTCCACAATCTTTCTGGTAGAGCAGAAAAATGAACAAGCAATGAAAGGACAATAAGTAAAATTATATATAAAAAAGTTACCAGGGCAACTCGTTCAGCTTCTTTCTTCTCTTGTGCATTAGCATCATCACCAACCCAAACAAAAATATTATCCCAGCAATCCAATAACATAACATCTTCACAAATCAGATCACTCTATTAGATATAAAACAAAACTTAATGATAAAACATAAATCTATTTCCCTCTCCTAATGGAAAATTGTTTCAATGGTATTACGTAATTGAACTGTAAACACACAGGATACAATTCTATAGAATATAATTACTGTTTATTACTGAGAGACATTTTACTAGGCATCTTCTTGAACAGTTGCTCAGCAATAAATGAAATCAAATGGCCTACAAGGGATCTATCTTTTATGTGCATGAATCGGTTTTACATCTGTCTTTGTCAGGCCCTCCTTCCTGCACCACTGACAAGGGGAAACCACGCTGAAAAATCGTGATGAAATTTCTCAGCCAATACCAAGAGCAAACCCACAACCTCCACGCTATCGAGCTAGAATCTTACTTACTTAGCCACCGTGGCTCCTGCTCAGTAATAAACAGTAATCATATTCCATTATGAAATGTGTCATGTGTATTAACCAGTTCAATTACCAAAACGTCATTCAAATAAATTATCACTTCAATGTTTGATAAAGACCAGAGTAACAAGCAAAAATTGTATTTTGTATACAATGAAAAAATTGATATATTTTATTTTTAACAATATGAGTACTACTTGTTTACCTGGACAAAATCTGGTATTTCTTCACAAGTAAAACGACCAGAAGCATTAGATAATTGATATAATCTAGGTGGGTGTGTCGAATCATCAGCCTGAAATAAAATTAAAACAATATTACGTAAAGGACACAAAATCCGTACAGGACACAATAAATGGCAAAAGTGTCTGTGATCGTAAACTTAAAATTGAGACAGGTCTCTTTAAACAAATGAGTACATCAAATGATTTCTTTCAATTTTTTACCCAAATCAGACATGACATCCTATCCTTAAAAATATTTTACAACCTGTGTCGTACAATACAGAAATTCAGCAAGAGAGAGAGGTATAACCTCCACTCAAAACAAACTAGGTCAGTTTGTGACTAACTTATGGTTCGATTTTATTTCAATATTTCAAGGAAACTTTATCATTGGGAGGAAACCATAGAAAACCCAAAAGGTTAGCCAAACGACCCTACTTCTTGTTACTTACAAGTGTGGAATAAAAACCATGCCCTGAATCAATGTCTGGCCTTAAGATCTAAAATGCAGTGACAGGGATCAATAATAATATATCATAGCAAAAGAAATTTACCGTAAGTCGTTTTTCTGAAGCGTACTCCTCTTTACCACCCAACACATTCCAAAAATCATCTTTTTCTTGACCTTCAAATACCATTGTTAACACTCTATCCAATACAAAATAAAACACATAATAAATACATTTCAAATTAAATATTTTTGTTAAATTCACAGAAAGGCTAGACCAACATACATTACCTTCCTTGAACATTACGTGTTGAAATTGTTGTATCAAATTGAGCATTGCTATGCCAACAGAATTAACTTTGTAATTAAGACAAAGGCAATCTGATTAAAATACAAATCTATATTACGTTTCGTTTTTTTTTTATCCTCTCAATGGCCTTCGCTACATTAAGATCTGACTAGTTGTAGTGGGAGGTTGTGTCATGGGTCATACAATCGACTTTTGACCCTATGACGTCAGACATTTGATGTTTCTAATGGGATACCCACACATTCGTGCAACGTGCACCACACACCAAGAACTTGCCGCAGCAGACTGTTTCATTGACTAATCCCTCACATCATCCAGAATGTGGGTTATATAACAACTTTTCCAGTTCCTAGTGTAGTAAAGACAAGTAAAACGATAAACTACGAAACGAGATAGGATCTGTGTTTTAATCATATCGAGACAAAGCGAACTGGGATTTAATCTAAACCTCAATTAAATATATAATGTATTATGTGTGTGTATCTACGTACCTGGGTGATCGACTCGCCACTAATTTAGCCATTTCCCTTTCATCACCAGTACAACCCTGTTATAAAATAGCATAATAATATAATTCATCTTTCAATCTCATCTTGATCGTTTGACAATCAAATTATATACCATTATTCACTGAATAATTAAAGTGTGAATATATACAGGAGGTGTTTCTTACAACAGATCGAGGGGACAGAGAGAAATGGGGTCATTCTGGGACAAAACATACACTCAAAATTTATTTCAATAATTCATTTTCGGGTAGGTGTGTTTGACAGCGAGGAGGAAACCTGTGGAGCCGGAAAACACATCATGTTATCGCTTCCATGTACAGAGGGAGAGAGAAATGGGGTTTAACGTCCACTTGACACAAACTAGGTCATTTCAGAACTAACACATGGTTCAATTTATTTCAATTATTCGCTCGCGTGTGGGGATCTTTAGCAGTGAGAGGAAACTGGAGGACCTACAGAAAAACCACGAGATTGGACAGGCGACCCTACTCCTTGTCACGTACAACCTGGGAATCGACACCTCGCCAGTTGACTCAATGACAGACCTTATGATACAGCACGCAAGTGCTAACCATTCGGACATTACACCCCCCCCCCACTGAAATTTAATGTATATATATAAAACTTACCTTTCCAGCCCAGGTATATACAGCTTGTTTAGTAAATATAACAAACACATCATTGGAGTTAAGGGAAGCAGCTCGTAACTCAACCTATATAATATCAAATTTAGATAAACATAATAAAATCCTAATCTGTCCAAAAAAAAAACATGTGGGTGTGAATAAGATTAAAGCATGGCATACATGGGAAACCAGGATTGAACCCCAGACTTCCAGGTTAGCGAGCCAGCTAAATACTCACTATAAGCCACCATAGGCTTCAAAATTTAAAGAGACAGTAAGAGAAAAATGGGGTTTAACTCCACTCAAACTAAACTAGGCCATTTTGGGACTAACATATGGTTCAATTTGATTTTGATAATTCGCTTGCACGTAGGGGTCTTTAGCAGTGGGAGGAAACTGGAGGACCTAGAGAAAACCCACGAGGTTGGACGGTCATCCTTACTCTTTGTCACGTACAAGCAGGGAATCAAAACCATGCCAGTTGACTCAATAACAGACCTTATGAGCACTTTCACCATTCAGCAACCCAACCCCACAAAAATTTAATGAGGAAATAGGCTCAACTGATGTTAAACTGTCTCTACCATGGATTTAGTTTATTGAAACTATATATTACCTGTACAGCTTTAGAGTTGAGTTTAGATGTACCTCTGACTTGTAACATATATTTATCACCTGGTCCATCATTACTCTGACCACCGTTCCAACCACCTTTACCTCCCTAAAATTATAAATAAAACAATTTAACATGTAGTAGAGAATATGGCGGGAGAGAAAAGATATACTTAGGGTTAAGTGAGGAGGTAATTATAAAAGGGTTTTAAAGAGGTAATAGTTATTGAAGTTTACCTACAACATTGTGAAAACTGAATCTCTACAAGTAATATCAGCAAATTAAGAACTTACAAAGATAGATGAATATTAAATTTAATATGATTTAATCTAAGCCAGAAGATTATGTGTCATTGATATATTGGTTTTGTTTTCTTAATAAAATGTTAAATAATCAATTTGCGTGCACAATTAGTCTGACACACTTTTGGATCACAATAACTCTGCTTCTAATTGAGGTAGAATATTCAAACTTGATGTAGGTATTTATTTGGTAAATGTGTTTGACGATGAGCATGACTTCTTTAATCTGTGAAAAATTAGATTTTGTCCATGAGCATTGTACAATAATTGATAGCAGATATTTACTTACAGAGAAGACAATCATTTTACCATCAAACATGGCCATAAAATGTGGTGGTTCTTTATTCTGTACAACTCGAACCTACAAAAATACATTTTTATGAAATTAAATGGGGTTTAACATCCAATTTTTCTGCACAGACAGGGCTAATGAAGAAAATATTGTCCGGATAGCAGCACTCAATGTGAATGCCAATGTGTACAGAGGACCTCAGTTTTTTTGTACCAACCGAAGGACTAGACACTGTTCTTTGCCTGGCCCCCGTCCACCATCCTACACCACTGACACACCCCAGATCACACAGTTAATGGATAACATTTGAAAATTCTCTGGTGGAGGAGCCTACTTGAAAATCAAGACAACACCACTGAATAGTAAAACTTGTTGTCAAACTGGTTCAGATTTTATTGACGTGTGTAAATATTTTTGCTATGAAAAGACTTGCATAATATTGTCTATTTATAACAATAAAGTTATTCTCTGACCATCAAAAGACTTGTATGATATCATCTATTTATAACAATATCGTCATTCTCTGGACTATCAAATAAACTGAGAGATCATAAAAAATACGAACCTGAACAGCAGCACCTCCTAATTCATCATCTTTTTCTACAGCTTTTAAAGCAGCTGTACCTTGTTCATCAGCACTTGATTTAGCTCCCTGAAAAAATATATCATGTTAAATATTTACTAAATAAAACATGAAGACTTATTTACATGTATACCAAAAACTAAGTCAAAATTGTTCCCATGGAATCACAAAACTGATCAAATCTGATAAATTGTGAATTAGTAGAGCGCTTAACTACAATAATAGCTATATTAGAGTGGCTAATAAGATCTGGTTATCCAGGGTGTCAGTGATTAGTTTCGTTTGTATTGAACTCCTCAGACTGACTGAACTTAAGTGGCAGACTTTTATTTATACTACTGCGAAATCCCTGTGTGTTTTGCCGTGGTCACAAATTGGTGGGGTTACCCCAAACTCTTTTTTACTTTGTTATACAATAACAGCTAAATCCACAAAATCTGCTTATGGCGCATAATACACTGATATCTAATAATATAATTTAAACAGAAACGTTTTCAAGTCAGATCTGAATTGATTGAGCGATGGACGTCTGAGGTGGTTTAACGATAGTTTATTCCACTTTGTAGTGGAAATTTTGACAGTTTCTGAGATATGCACCAGAAAATTTGTTACGAAAAATGGATGGACAGAAGGAAGTATTCCATTTCATTATCACTTGCTGACTTCATTTAGTATGGGACAATCAAATGAGATAATGGAATGTGATTTCATAATAACTCAATACAATCCAAGTTATATGGTATACTTTATTTCAACAATTTACTTGTGTGAAGTCATGGTAAAAAGTGTATATATTTTACTTACCAACCAATAGTAGATAATATAATGTGGACGATTATTAACTTGATAGGTATATTTAATAACGTAACAATCTCCACCAAAAAATTCACCATAATGACCCTTTTCTACTTCAACTAACTCAAAATCATTTACTCTCCATACCTGCGAATAAAACCATCACAATATATATAGCATGTAATAATCATTTACAAATATAATGATCCAAATATATTGCATGTAATAATCATTTACAAATACAAACATCCAAATATATTGCATGTACTAATCATTTACAAGTCTATAACCAAAATACTTTAATAATACTTTAGCTATAAAATATATTATATTGTATCTTTGCCTTACAATATGTTTTTTAATATTCAACACTACTTTTGTTGGAAGTACCAATACAATTTCACAGATTGTTTACATTTTTATTCCTGTGAGTGGTTGTGGGCCCAATGCACTATTTCTTCTGGAGGCATGCAATGCTGTTAAGATGGTACTCCTTGAATGGTATTTAGCTATTGGAAACATAACATAACCAACACAATTATATATAACAACAATCACTGATTATTATACACAACTTTTTGATAAGTATCCTTAAATTGTTATTATTAAGGTTGATAACGATAAAAGGATACTTATCAAAACGTTGTGTATAATAATCAGTGATTGTTGTCATATATAACTGTATTGGTTCCGTTAAGATGGCCCTGATGATATTATTATAAATATAAAAAGATAACAAACCTCTACTTCACCAGTACCGTCATCAACCATCTGTGTTTCTGCTGCTAGAGCAGGTTTACTGTGTAATGTAGCAGCATCAAATTTAGTCTGTACAGTTTTAGCTAGAATAACAAATACACAATTTTATATTACCAGTACTCTTTACTCTCTAAGTACAAAATAATTTTGGTGAAATACAAGTTGGAATCCTACAATGTTTTGACAAAAGTGGGCAAAATGTGTGTGATTTCTGAAATATTGAAATAACAGAAATGAACTATTAAAAACCAGTGTTATTTTGAATATAATCGAATTTTAAATCAAATGGTATAAAAAAAATCATACAATTCAAAAGATATCACTGTCGTTTGCTGTAAGTAGTGATAAATATGGTACACAAGGAAGGATATGCTTACTTTTCAAAACACATGTTGTCACTTCTCGCTCATGATGACATATTGCTAACAACTTTTTTTTATATACTGTCACACTTTTTGTTTAGAATTTCATAACTTACACCCCCCCCCACCCAAAGAAATATAAAACAAAATTTTAAAACCGGCTCGCTTTAAGAACAAAAATGCAATTAGCAGACAATAATTGAAATAAATGAACTCACCTATTCTATTGTTGGAGTAAACTTTTCCTGGTGGTGGTGGTTGAGGCCAATCTCGGAATAAACATTTAAATTCTACAGGTTCTCCATTTTCTACAACTCTTGTAACTGGTGTTTTAGATGGATATTCTTTCTTTGTTACAAAACCCTAAAATTATCATTTAACATAATATTAAAAAGACAGTCCCAGATCCCACAAGTGGGTTCAGTATGTGGAAAGCCGCAATAAATTAAAGTGGGTTTAGGTCTGTGAAAAGCTACAATAAATTTAAATAGGTTTAAGTCTGTGAAATGTCACAATAAATTAAAGTGGGTTTATTTAAGCATTTGAAAAGCCACAATAAATCAAAGTGGAATAAACTATAACACATACTTATGGAAGAACAATTACTGATTTATTTGGGCGACGTTTCGAAGAGTATTCTCTCAACGTTTTCAAGCAAGTGGGTTTTAAGTAGGCCTATAAAAAGGTATGTACTTACTAAGGCATTTCTCATGGCTTCTTTCTTTTCTTTAGATGAGGCTTTTTTACCAATCCACACCCAGATACCAGCATGACCATTATCAACAATAAATGAATCCTGATAAAATAAAATTTTTAACAATTTCAAACAATGCACTTTCTAGATTCAGACAGACAGGGATTATACACTAATATACTGCCCCATAAAGAGTGAGAGAAACTAAGTCATTTCAGGACTAACATATGGTACAATTTTATTTCAATAACTTGCCTGCGCATAGGGGTCTTTAGCAGTGGGGGGAAACCGGAGGACCCGGAGAAAAACCACAAGGTTGGACAGGTGACCCTATTTCTTTTCACGTACAAGCGGAGTATTGAAACCACGCCACTTGACTCCATGAAAGACCTTATGATACAATGCACACGTGTTAAACATTCGGCCACCCAACTCCCCAAAGTAGTAAAGAAAAACTACATTTCACCCTTATAGTTGACCTGAAAAGATGATTGCTATGTAAGGATCCCACTGCCATTTTGTTGTCCGTTAAAATTTATTAATAGACCTTTTTAAATCCAATTGAATCAAAGCCCTGACATTATCTAGAGCTGGTATTTTGATTTCATTTTTTTAATTAAATGTTAAATAATGAATCTGAGTACATTTTAGTGTGAATTAAGATGCGAGAAATTTGGTATTTTAGCGAAATATGCCAATACATGAAGTTCAAAAGGTCAGAAAAGACTATCATTTTCTATAGGTATACCGATGGGCTCAATAATTCTAGCTCCTAATTATAGATAACTTACGTCATTGTGAAGATCTTTATGTGATAATGGTCCAGTTTTTATTTCAGAAAGTTTAAGAGTACCTCCTTCTTCATGACAACTGTGAATATATAGAAAAAAACCCCAGAGATTTAAATTTATTTAAATATGTTGCAAAACATTTACCACCTAAAATATCATTTTTTCTGGTTTATAAAGTAACCAAAAACTTTAAAAAAAAAGACATTTGATGATTTTATCAAATTCTAACTCCAGTGAAATCTTCAAACCATTAATTTTTTCCATCAAACCACAAACTGGCATTTCAACATATCAGGATGAAAAGTGATTCCTCTCTATGGATGTAATGTGGTCATCTATTTTTATGTCATGACTTAAACACTGACAAAAAACAACAAACTGCACAACTTATAAAAGTTGACATTGACCAGTTCAGATTTAAATCTATAGAGATAACTTACGAGAAGAGTTTTATCTGAGCTCCAGCATTGCGTTCAGCAACATCATCAGTTCCGACTTCTTCCACACTTTTTAGCTTTCCACGTTTGTCTGGGATTGGCAGATGAGATTCAAATAACTAAAATAGAAAGAACCAAGGTTAAATATATATTCCTCTCTGAGGACTTTTTTCTGTAACCAAATTGTATATTTTTTTTTTTTTGATATTTTTTGCGAAAAATATTGTAACAAGGTTTAATATCTTATAAATACTGACAAGTAAATTTGGAACTTTCTGGACTAATAATTCAGCATCCCTAATATATACTAAGACTTTCTGGAACACCTGATACCACTTGCACTGGCATAATCTGTGAGGACAACAGGTATTATCCTGTCGTAAGTTCAAGTGGCTAATTAAATGTAATGACGTTGTCAAAGATTTGTTTCATGCAAAGACAATTTATTTTATTTGCTACCGGGAGTCACCATGACGAAGTGAGTATGGTGCTTGCTCATTGATCAAGGGATCCCGCGTTTGATAAGGGTGTAGGTAGAAAAAGTTTATCAGGATTTTCCAGCACCATTTTCCCTTTGTCATTTTTTGCTGTAAAGTCAAGATCAAAATGTCATCCAAAGACAAAACATGATCAAATTTACACAGCCGAAACGAAAAAGAAGAACTCTCATAATCAAACTCAGCCGAAATATGGATCAAATGACAATACCACGTTTGAACATTTTACCTCAATTACAAGAGTTATTGTGTTCCAATAGGTGTCACAAACGGACAGACCCATTCTAATAGTCCCATACTTCCTCCAAATTGTGAGGGGATAAAGTATTTACCTCTTTAGATTTACCAGTTAATTTTTCTTCCTCTCCATCTTCTATAACTATGATATTAGCTTTCTTTCTGGTATCTCTTAAACTACGACTATATTCCATAGCCTAATAAATAATAAAATCAGTATTAACATCAATAACTCAAATCAAACTAATATATAATAATCTCATATAAAATTAGGTTTTTACAGCACATTCTGTTCTGCCCAGGTAAATTATCAATCTGGTTAAAACACAGATCCTATTTCGTTTCGTTTTTATAGTTCAAAATTTCGTTTTACTTATCTTTACTACACTTAGATCTGGAAGACTTGTTATTTAACTCATGTTCTGCTTGAAATGAGGGGTCAGCCAATCAAATGGTCTGTCGAATCGAGTGTTTGACCTTTTTTTGCCCGGAACAGTGGGTAATCCACTAGTAACATCAATGCTGATTAGTCAATCAAATGTCTGACGTCATAGGTCAAAAGTCGGTCTTTTGAACTCTGACGTGACCTATTGCTATAACTTGTCAGATCTTCATGTAGTGTAGGCCATCGAAAGTATAAAAAAACGAAACGAAATATAGATCTGTATTTTAATCAGATTGGTAAAGTATACAAATGGAAACAAATTTGAATAATACACTTTACCGATCTACCTTTCATTCACACAGATAGATATGGAAAATACAGCGTAACTTTAAAACTTATTTTTGTCATGCTACTCTTGTACCATGGCATTTTGAAATCTAATGATACATGGCTATTTTCATCAGCCCTGTAGGCCCAACCCCAACATGGTTTAAAATATCTTAAATGTTCAATCTAAATACTACACAACAGTTCTCGACCATACAGCCATCTTTAAACTGAAATGTTGTATTCAATACAAACCTTCAATCTCTCGGATCTTCTGCATTTACCTCCCATCCATGCAAATAATGTCTGTCCCAGATCTAATATAAAACTATCACCTTCATTCATACCTTCCCATCCGATCTCAACCTATAAATAAACAATAAAAACAAAATAAATTTCACAATTCACTTTAATTTTCTATATATCGAGCACACTTTTTCACGAGGTGCTGCATCAAGAAAGTTTTAAGAATGTATTTATAACAAGAGGTCCATGATTTATAAATATTTTTATTCCTAACCAAACCTCTGTGACTGATTTTACTGACAACTTTATGGTTGAAATCTGAGCACAATAAAGTCTCTATCTGACCACCTCAAGTTCGATATCTGACCATCATAAGTGTTATAGCTGACCACCATCAGGTTGATATCTGACCACCTCGAGGTCGATATTTGATCGCCCTAAGGTCGATATCTGACCACATCAAAATTGATATGACAACCACCAGCTTGATATCTGACCATTCAAGGTCGATATCTGACCACCCCGAGGTTGATATTTGACCAACTCAAGGACACTATCTGACCAAGTCAAGGTCAATATCTGACCACCTCAAGGTTGATATAATAAAATTGATATCTGAACTCTGAACACATTATTGGGGTCGATATCTGAACACATTATGGTCAATATCTGACCACTATAAGGCGATATATGAGCACCTTAAAGTTGATATAAGAACACATTAAGGATGATAATATATAGAGAGAGAGAGAGAGAGAGAAATGGGGTTTAACGTCCACTTGACACAAACTAGGTCATTTCGGGACTAACACATGGTTCAATTTATTTCAATAATTCGCTTGCGCGTAGGGGTCTTTAGCAGTGGGAGGAAACCAGAGGACCCGGAGAAAACCCAAGAGGTTGGACAGGCGACCCTACACCTTGTCAAGTACAACCGAGGAATCGAAACCCTCCAGTTGACTCAATGACAGACCTTATGATACAGCGTGCGCCACCCAACCCACCATTTCTGTGTATAACAGGAAAAATATTTTCATTTCTATATATACTTCACTATATTTAAAATCTAGCAAAATGTGTTTTTACTCATACCTCTGAAACAATAGGTATTGTTTTTCCTTTCACTCGTAATAGTTTCGGTTTAAAGACTTCCTCTACATGATTAAAACCAGATTTAACTCCACCAGCTACAACACTATAAATACATTATATATAAAACAATATCATAAATATAAAACATACTGCCTCTAGGCTTATAAAGATGCTCATCACCTTTAAGTGGTAGTTTTGGGACAAAGATCATGACCACTTAGTGGCTTGGGGGATTACCAGTATGTAAAAAAAATACCCCCCCCCAACTCTCGATTAAATCTGGTCAAAATAATGCATTAAAGGATTATAAAATAGTATTATATATGGAAGTTCGGGGTCCATTGACTAAACTTGTTTCGTCGTAGGTAGACATTTGTATGCCTTCACTATAACGCTGATGAGGGTGATGCTAAACGAGCTTTATAGCAAACCATGTTATAGTGACGTCCAATTGTATTGTAACATTTGACTGGATTCATAATATGCTAAACATAGTGTTTACTACAAAGTGAGTGTATTTAAATGACATATTGTTTATTTCACCTTAAAATGCTGGTAGAGTTAGTGAGTCACCTTACAGTTTGAGGAAAGAGACGGAAAAAAGTATAGTAAATCTTGAAAGTCTAGCTATAAAACCTGACGTGAATAATATATTCTTACAGATGCATATCTAAATAGCCATATCTTCGAACAGTATGATTACAATTTTCTGATTTCTAAATCATATGTTATGAGAGAAGGAAATTGGGATTTATGTCCACTCAACCTAAGCTAGGTCTTTTCAGGACTATGATGTTGTACTTTTTTTTTTCATTTCAATAATTCGCCACTACCCCCCTCCCCACAACCCAAATTATAATAATACCATCTTTTCCAAATAAGATATATAGACTGGGGCTTTAACGCGCCGAAACAAGCCCAACAGCAGCAATCAAGTCTATGTTAGCTCAAAAAATCTTCAAAATGTGAAAAGAGATATTTCAGCAAAATATTTTCAAAGTAAACATGTGGTTCTTCTTTAGCGAGAGAGAGAGAGAAATGGGGTTTAATGTCCACTCGACACAAACTAGGTCATTTCAGGACTAACATGTGGTTTAATTTTATTTCAATAATTCGCTTGCGCGTAGGGCTCTTTAGCAGTGGGAGGAAACCGGAGGACCCAGAGAAAACCCACGAGGTTGGACAGGCGACCCTACTCCTTGTCACGTACAACCAGGGATTCGAAACCACGCCAGTCCACTCAATGACAGACTTTATGATACAGCGCGCGCGCACTAACCATTCAGCCATCCAACCCCCCGGTTCTTCTTTAAGCCCAAATGAATAAGCTTTAAAGAACGTCTATCATGAAGATTGTTCTGTATCACATTCACAAGCTCTAAAAGTTAAAACAGGGGTGAAAACTCTGCAATACGCGGTCAAACCATTCTGAGTTTCTATTTGGGTCTCCCTCTGAATCTGTACTTAAATTAATGGTGCATATTGTCAAAACAGCTTTTCCTGAAGTATCTTGTAAGAAAAATTGTGTTTAGTATGAGAAATATTTTTCTTGGTAATTTGGATACATATTCTTCAATCAATGGTTATGTAGTTAGAATGGTAACATATCTTGTAAACTTACTGTACTAAATACTTACACAAAACCTTTACTAAAATAACTAATAAATCTCCGTGATTCAGCACCCTCTACTTCTCTATGTTGTACTGGGGAACCACCTAAATAATCATCTAATTCTACACTTTTATACGCAGCTACACCAGCTTCATCCTATATAAATAATATCAAACATCTTTATATCATTCTATTATAAACATACCCTAATAATACCTTTCACTGGCTTAATTAGATTAATAGGGATAACAAAACATGAAATGAAATGGGGGGTAACGTCGTAGGCTACTGTTCTGCTTCGACTGGGCTAATGAAGACGGGCATATGTCATGTAGTGTGCAATGAGGGAAATTTTGCCTGGACATCAGACTACGGCCTACTCTTATATCGAATTCCAACTGCAAAGGGATCTTTTACGTGCATGCCAATGTGTACACGGGACCTCAATTTTTTGTCCCATCCGAACGACTAAACAACTGTCCCTCCCCCTCCCTCCGGCATCAATGACAAGCGAAACCAGGCCGGGGAAAATAAATAAAGTCTACCAATCAATGAATTATAAAGTTAAATTGGTGGCATTTTTCTTATTAAGAATTCTAAATTCTAAAATCCAAGAATCGGTGAATTACAGAGTGAAATTGATGGATTTCTCATCAAATCAAGAACTTCAAATTCTAAATCTACCAATCAACGAAATACAATCTCAAATCTCATATTCATCATTAAACACACAAATAATATTTATTTTTTATGGTGACACATGGTATGCAATTTGTTGATGAATATTGCCAGGGTGACAATCAATCCATAATACATCCTGGAGATCTCGTTCTATAAGAGTTTGTAAAATTCTCTACTTGGTAGGGCTAAGACTCTAATGTAAGTTCTAGTTACAGGTAAAATGTTTAATTGTACCTGAGAAGTTTCTGACCCTAACCAGAAGTGAATATGACTCTCTAAAGCTCCTTTAACTTCTTTAATCTGTAAAACAAATTAAAATATAAAATAATCTTAACAGGGCACTGTCAGACTCAGGTCTGAATAAGTATAAAATCTACTTTCAAAATTCGGGACCAATTTAATTATAAATTAGATCTTAGACACAGGTATATCATATCAATAAATAAGATCTTATACACATATATATCATATTAAATCTAATTAATCAATTAGATCTTATACACACATATATCACATCCAATTTAATTACTAAATTAGATCTTATACACAGGTATATCATATTTAATTTAATCAATAAATTAGATTTATAAACAGGTATATCATATTTAATCTAACTAATAGATTAGATCTTATATGCAGCCATTTCATACAATGAAATGAAATGGAGTTTAACGTTCTATACGGTTCTGCTAATGAAGACGGGCATATGCCATACAGTGTGCTATGCCCGAACAACAGTACTACGGCCTACTCTTATATCGAATTCCAACTGTCAAGGGATCTTTTACGTGCACGCCAATGTGTACACGGGAACTCGGTTTTTCGTAGCCATCCAAACGACTAGACAGCTGCCCTTGTCAGGCATTTCATACAAATCTAATTAATAAATTACATCTTTTATCTATACCAAATTAAATACTGTGTTGGTTCTTTCTACATCTGGATTACAAAATACTATTCCTTTTACCTACCTGAATAAATCATTTGTATCATTACATTACAGAAATATTTCCAAAATAGGAATTTTGTTTAAAAAAAAAACTGAGATAAATTTTTCTCCAGATCAATATAAAAGCATTTAAAAGTCATAAAATTACGAATAACCTTTTCTCCAGAATAAAATGAAAAATAAAAAACCAATAAATTAAATACTAATTGAACGAATATGTTTTCATGTATAAACTTTTAAAAATTCTCTACAAACAGTAAACAAAGACGACTGGTGCCAAATCACTCTGGTACAAAATAAAAATGTGCGGACATTAGAGAAATTGAAATAAAAACAACAAGACACTTCCCCAAAGGAAAATCAAAAATCAAATAAAATCCAAAGCACTCCAAAACAAATCACACCAAAAGAAACATTAAACCAAAATTTGCTATTAAAAATGAATGTCGAACACAATAAAATATGTTAGTAAAGGAAGTACATATATAAGTCAACAGGAGTAATTCATACATCGTTTCAATTGAAAACAAACAAAAGTCATGAGCACCAATCAAAAGGATAGTTCCTCAAGAAAACAGAGCCTTTTGTCATAAAAATGAAAATGGCTTAGTGTAAAAAGTAGGTTGCAGATCAAGAAATGGAATGAAGAAACCATTCATCTACAATTACTAATCACACTTCTGCAGGATTTACTTCCCTTGGTTTTGACCTAATTCCAGAGTAATCTCTGAGTAATATTCTGATAATACTATTTCATTTAGGATCCAGATGCTGTGGGCTCTGTTTGCTTAAGTCCTGAACCATGACACTTTGTACACATAAATTTTATTTTATTTTTCCTTCAAGAATTTGCTCGAAATAGTGTTTTAATGACTCCTGTCAACATACAGACTGAATTACCCAACAGATTTGTTGCGTTGACTTTCATTTTTATCTTATTTACGTTGAGTTATCCAACTCTACCTCTTAAATTCCTTTATTGCATAAAAATTTCTTAAACATTAGAAAAGTTTTTTTTTATTGAATGTACACAGACAAGGTGACATATTTGGCAACTCTACCATGTGCACAACACCAACCATGTAAAAAGACAGGATAAGAAAGTGAGCTAAACTAATTCATATTCATATACCTTAAAGGCTGAGCCTCTTTTAGAATCTCCTACAGATGTATGCTGTACAAAACAGTTGAATTAATATATCAAAATCAAATTAAATTGAACTGAAAATAACGCTATTTGTAACACAATAAACATGCATCAAACGGTCTGCCATGCATGTTGTCTTCAACTTCCTCTGCCTCTGCACAAAATGTTTTAGGCTTATTTATGAAGTCTTTATAGGACATTAGTTTCTCAACATTTACCAGAAGAACTAACTGTTACATGTGTCTGGCTACTTAGTAGTTGTTTATAATTCATGTAATCAGTAGACCACAGCATTCCACCTCGCTGACCGTAGTCAACTACATTGCTATCTGTGATCTTCTGGAAAGCTCTAAGATACGATCACGATCATATGTACTCAGATTGATTATTCAATATTTAATTAAGAAAACAAAATCAAATTACCAACGCTAGATAATATCCAGACTTGGAGTCAATCGGATTTAAAAAAGGCCTATCAATAAATTTTTGCAGACCACATAGCAAACAGCACAGATCAATGAAATTTCAATTTGTAAATACCAAATGGAATTTAACCATTTTTCGACTGATATTCCTATTAGAGATTCATCTTTCACAGAGGTGTAGATTTCAAGTGATTCCTGTAGCAATAAAATGACTCATCAACACTTTGACTAAATTACAAAAATATATGAGATAATATACTTACTGACAATATTATGTAGGAATCTCCTCGGAAAAATTTACCATGAAACTCTCTTGGAACAGGTACAACCTGCATTTTCTAAACAAACAAAAAAAAATATCTAGATTATTTGGTTTACTGTTAAAAAGGGCTGAGCTAGCTATGTTAAATATGCACAGATGATATTGATATTGGGATTACAATCAGCCTGGATTAGGTCAATTAAACATGGATTGATCTTTGACCTTCGATGAGTGACAGTAATAGCGGAAGTATATTACACGTTTGATCAAAATCCATTCGCCAAAATGTAAATTTATTGCATTTCAAAGAATCAACCAATCAGATTGCAGTAGGTCAATGAAATATATATGGATGGCATTGATGTTTGACAATATCAACCAATTAGATTGCAACAGACCAATTAAATATACGCAAATGACTTTGTTATTCAAATAGTTTACTGACCGTGATTAATGAACGGTTGATTACCGTAATAATGCCTTTCAAGATTCGACCACTCATTAGTACATTAGAAGTTAAAGTTTCTAAACAAAATCACCCGATACTCTATGGATTATCATCAGATGAATTATATGAATGAAACCACATATAATTCATAAAGGAAATGAAATAAGGTTTAACGTCCTACTGTTCTGCTCTCAACTCTGCTAATGAGGACGGGCATACACCATGCAGTGTGCTATGAGGGAAATTTTGCTCGGACAGCGGCACTACGGCCTACTCTTATATCGAATTCCAAGTGTCAAGAGATCATTTTACGTGCATGCCAATGTGTACACGGGACCTCATTTTCCGTCCCATCTAAACGACTAGACAGCTGTCCTTGTCAGGCCCTCCGTCCTGCATCACTGACAAGGGGAAACCACGCCGGAAAATCTGGATGAACTTTCTCGGCCAATGCAGGGATCAAACACTCGACCTCCAGGCTAGCAACCAGTGTCTTACCCACTTAGCCACCGTGACCCCCCAATTCATAAAGGAAACATAACAGTATTTTCAAAACTATATTACATGTACATGCACATTGATTGATGATTAAATTTGATCCAATGATCAATTGATAAAAATCTCCATTCTGTATGAGCACCCTTCATTTTTACACCCAGATAATAAATTTCTCTTACCTCTATTCTCCATACATTAAAACAGGCCCGATTACGGCTCACCTGTTTAAATGCTGGATCAATGTTCGCCATATTGGTGGTTTCTGAAAATATAAAAAGATAAAAACTTAATGGCACAAAGAACCAGATCACAAATAATATAAAGACTGTTGTGGTCTAACATGTGTGCTTTACTTTATATCGTCTGTGAATGAGTAGAGTGGTATGGTTTCGATCCCCAGTTTGCACATGACAAGAAATTAGGTATCGTAAGATCCATTTCATTCACTCATTGAGATCTTGTATCCATAGATGCCTCTGCAGTACCACTTATTCTATGTTGTTGGTTGTTCCTTACTAAATCTTTCATAACAAAGCTCTTCAAGAAATTTTTTATCAATTTGGCAGTTTTTTGGCCAAATTGCATTAGTTAGTACAAAAGGACTGCACCACACAAAAACAATTACGAACCCACAAACAAAACACAATATACACAATTATAAGCTACAATTGCAAACCTTTACATTTGATTTACTTTGCCTTTCACCTTTATATTAACAAAACAGACACTACGCAGATGCCTCGCCTACATTCCAGTCCTCAATTCAGAAATGAAAACAAAATAATAAATCATGTAGTTGTTAATAGTGAATCAATAAATTGTAAGAATGTAAATCAGAGGTAGGTTGGATTTTCATTCAGATCAATATCACATCATCTGTTTCGTATTACGCTTAATACATTAATAATAACAGTCATTAGCATAAAGGTGTCTATTATAAATAGTCTACTTTACCTATATTCAATAATCACACCTATGAAGCGTTCAATATCACATAATTAGGTGATATTGTAGGAGGAATGGCCTACTCTGTCAATGACTCAATTAGACCTGGTCTTCGGAGACCATTACTGTCTCCACCACATATGTTGCAAAACTATTTTGAGATTAATTTTTAGTATGAATAGGAAATGAAATAAAAAGTTTTGACTAATAGATTGTATTTACATGTAAGAGTACAAGCAATATTTTGATTTGTAAATTTGGTAGTTAAGACAGATCAAGTTCTTAGAGAGAGAGAGAGAAATGGGGTTTAACGTCCACTAGACACAAACTAGGTCATTTCGGGACTAACATATGGTTTTAATTTTATTTACATAATTCGCTTGCGCCTAGGGGTCTTTAGCAGTGGGAGGAAACCGGAGGGCCCGAAGAAAACCCACGAGGTTGGACAGGCGACCCTACTCCTTGTCACGTACAACCGGGGATTCGAAACCACGCCAGTTGACTCAATGACAGACTTTATGATACAGCGCACGCACGCTAACCATTCAGCCATCCACCCCCCCATCAAGTTCTTAACGGGTATAGAAAAGACAAATGATTAAATAATGAAGACCATAAAATTTATATTGTTACCATCCTTTCTTTCAATTAGATTTTTATTACTTAGTTTTATTTTTGTTGATAAACTATAAAGTTACGATCAAAGGGGAAAAAAATCATGAGATGATCAATTCGGTTTCTATTTGTTAACTGTCGTGAAATCAAATTATCTGTAAGTTGTTATTTTTGGTGGAAAATAATAACTGACCTGTTACGGTTGTCATATTTGACTTGCGGCTTATATAATTTATGCACTCTGTATGCAAATAACTTTCAGACAGTATGTCAGTACAAAAAGGTCTTATCTCCTTTCATCATCCGTATCAATTTATATACCAGTACAATATAGAGTTGCAAAATGTCTGACCTTCCAAATAAAACGGGAGATTAAAAGGCCCTGATTTTCATTTGTGGGATTTTTAATATTGTTCCTTAGTTTAAAAATTATTCTGAGATCAAGTTAAGCTGGCAGTAGCCCCAGTATGAATTTTGTTCTGATGTTCGACATTAACAAATGTTGCAATATAAACATTTAAATCATATATGTATATAATATTAAGTAACTACTTCAACATGCATTATACAAGAGCTAAATCTGCCTATTGCAGGTCTTTCTTTAGGCCTGAAATGTTATATAAACTATTAATTACACATTTATTAACAAAACAAGACCATAATCGACTCTCAACGCCATCTGATGCTTCCGATTTTCATTAGATTTGAATCTGATCTACCTTTCAACAGTCAATGGCATTGAATTGATGATTCAATGCAAAAATAGATAATCAAGACCTTTTTTATTTTCGTCACAACGGCAACAAAGACAATCGAGGCAACAATGTTTTTACAATGAGTATTGCTTGGCTGACTGAAATTTTCAGAATATTCCCGTTACATTATCTGTTATTTAACTATTATAATGAGAACTGTTAGCTCTTTATCTAATCTTCCATAATGTATCTTATAATAATCTACACAAAAAACAAAAAGCGTTAGCCCCTAATTACCTTCTGTATCCATACTTGTTTGACCACAACTCTATACAGACGTTTCCTAAACTTTCACTTCCTAGTTGGGTTGTACAGGGTGGACCACAAATCACACCATATTAAACTGGTCACGGCACACTGGTTGTATTGTTGTTGCACAACACACCGATGTTGGGTGTATCATTGCTCCACCCAATTTCACAATATTTATGATGTGTATAGTGTAAATATCATCAAATCGTAGTTAATTCAACCTGATCAGATGCTTACAAAAATTTATGTTGCTATGTAAAAACTGTTTTTTAAAAAAAATAAATAGATCGTTTATTCGCATGCTTGTGTAGGCGGCCATCTTTATTCTTTTCATATTATTCATGTAGGTGTTTTTTTTAAGTCAACCATCAATAGATTTACTAAGTAGCACGATAACACATATCGGTTTTTTACTGAATCTACTCAGCTTTCTATTTGGTGACAAATATTTGTCTCAATTATTCTTTGTACACATGAATTATATTAAGGTACGGTCGAAAAAGAATATCAAATTTGTATATTTTATTATTTGGGTATTTCATTACTGTAGCTTACATAGATATCTATATGACAACATTCAAATATCTGACATCCAGTAATTATTTATGAGCTATTATTTTTTTTTTCATATTGCTTCTTAAAGGGGAGAGAGAGAGAAATGGGGTTTAACGTCCACCTGACACAAACTAGGTCATTTTGGGACTAACATATGGTTTAATTTTATTGCAATAATTCGCTTGAGCGTAGGGGTCTTTAGCAGTGGAAGGAAACCAGGGACCCGAAGAAAACCCACGAGATTGGACAGGCGACCCTACTCCTTGTCACATACAACCGGGGATTCGAAACCACGCCAGTTGACTCAATGACAGGCCGTATGCTAACCATTCGGCCATCCAACCCCCCCGCTTCTTAAAGGAGAAATCCCAGATGTTTTAGTGAATAAGACTGAAAATTTCTGGTGAAACCTTTATCCCATACTCCTCGGAAGTGTTTTTTCCCACTAAACCAAATGATTTCTTGGACCACTGCTTCAGGAATATGCCTTTATCCTAGCTCTGGAGCTCTGTAATATGTTTTGAAGAAATACAAACTTTTAAGTTCCCTTATGGGGTTTAGCCATAAGTCTCCATTTCTGACAAATGATATGAAATGAAATCGGCTTTAACGTCCTACTGTTCTGCTCCGACTGGGCTAATAAGACGGCTCGCCATACAGTGTGATATTAGGGAAATTTTGTCATGGACAGCAGCGCTACAGCATACTCTTTTATATCAAATTCAATTCTTCTACGTGCACGCCAATGTGTACAAGGAGGCTAGGTTTTTCGTCCCATCTGAACGACTAGACATGTGTCTTTGTCAGGCCCTCCATTATGCACTACTGTTATGAACTTTCTTGGCCAACACCGGGAGCGAAACCACAACCTCCAGACTATAGCTAGCTAGCGTCTTACTCACTTAGCTACAGCGGCTCATCTCGATGAAATGCTACTGCCTTCAAATTGCTCATAGCACACTGCATGGCGCATAATACATGTATGCATGTCTGCAAATACTAATACGTTAAACCCCATTTTATTCATTCAATCTATATAAATCCCTAGTATATAGGGATCAGCTTGATGAATAAAACTTAGTGTTAAAGGTAAACCACTATATACTTACCTGTATCTTCATACCAATTCAGCTATTTCTGAGTGGATTTTGTAAATTATATAAATAAAAGGTCACATAACCTCCATAGATAAAAAAGTGTACAGTGTCGTGTATTCCAACCAATGTAAAGATTTTTACAAATGCTACGCAAAGCTCGTTATTTAACACCACAACAAAGTGTATTGACACACAGCGTTATTTCCCACATATTGTAGGCATCATTAGATCAACGTTTAAACATGTATTGTGGAGAGTTCACCCGAATGCCCCACAATCAACCTGGTAATTTCTTCTAAACTTTAACACGTTTACATCGTTTCACAAAAAAATTTAGATGCCGACATAAATAATTTTAAGGTTAAAATAGGAAAGAAAACATTTTATTGTTGTTTAGCTTTTCCAAAATGTCTGACTCTTTTCTTTGCCTTTTTGATGGATACATGTACAGTCAGTTTAGACTAGGCCTCTATTCTTTTCTTTAAAGGGGCATTATGGAAGATTAGATATACAACTGGCAGTTCTCACTACAATAGTTAAAAACTAGATAATGTAAAGGGAATATGCTGAAAATTTCAGTCTGTATCAAGATATTAGCCAAAATTTAGACCTAGCCTCGATCATCATTACTAAAGTTGGTATGATAAAAACCATAGTCTCGATTATCCATTTTTGGATTTAATCATCAATATGAGCGTTGAGCAGCAAATCGGATTCAAATCCAGTGAAAACCTGACACATAAGATGGCATCGAATGTTGATTAAGGTCTTTTCATGTTAATAAATGTATTATTAATAGTTTATATTCATGTAACATGTTTAATTATTTCGGAATTTTCATAAGGATTCACAGATTGACCAAAGCACTTGACAAGTTTGACTTATTTGTTGAAAGTTGTGTCCAGGTCCACTTTAACATAGGTCTAATCAATTTATTATTGTGTGCACCATTGCCAATCTAATTCAAATCAGAAGTAGAATAACCCTTGATGAGACAACTAAAAAATCAAAGCCTTTGAAAATAATGCGCAAAATTTTCTATA